TGGGTTCCTCTTTTTGTCACTAGGCAAATGAGCTGGCACGGTGACCTTATGTACTAATTTCCATGATGTTATTTAGGGCCGTGGTACAGAGCTGAGGGCAATAAACCAGGGGGCCATTATGTGTGTGTGGAAACTGATGCTTATCATTTTCTGTCCCGGGCCCTCCATGGCATTAGAGGCCGTTTAGCTGACTGTTGGCCGGGGCTGGTTGCACAATTAAACTGCTTTTTCTTTCCTTTCCCAGCATGCTTATTTTCTTCTAAACATTCTTGCAACGTGTTTATATATGTATATTTAAGCAGGTGCATGCATTTGCTCACAGCTGATTCTGGGGCATTTCTTTGTTGTTCAACTTGACATGAAGTGAATAACATAGATTCATAAATATCCATATGGGCCTTAAAATATATGAGCCAAAATAAAAGATAATTAGACTAATTAGTTTTATGTTGCCCAACATGTTCAATATTTGTCCCCTCTCTGTTAGCAATTCAGGCTCATAGGCCTTCTTCACAGAGGACAATTTGACATGTAGCAGGAGGGAAAGCACAGGAGTAATTAATTCAATTCATTATTTGAATTCCATTTAGCAGCTTTAGTTTCAGGCTCCTGGTGTCGTGCATGCTGGCTCACTGTCACGTTCAACACTTACTGGGACGCTGCAATAGAACAGCTCCATCGTTAATGACGTTAGTAACACCTGTGTTTTTCCTACTATGACAAGTCCAAATGTCTGCCGTGGAAAAGGCTTCATAGTATTAACTAGCTTGTTGTTAGCAAAAATGACCCCATAAGCCACAAAGCAACCAACGCTATTACACAGCCAGTCAGCTAACCCCAGTTTAGCTTAGGCTAACTAACTAACGTTAGTCGGATGCCCCTCCCTTACATCGCTCTTGGCTAGTAGCGAGCAAACATTTGCTTTGTACCGTTACATCCTTTATTGTTGGACGAAATCATAGCTCACGTTAGCTGGGAAAGTAATTTTGCAAGCTAACGTTACGAAACGAACATATCCACCCAGATTTATATTACGTTACAGAAAAAAGTACTATTTAGTTAGCGATAACGTAGCAAGCAAGCAGGCTCAGGTTAACAAGCTAGCTGCAACCCAGCCACGCTGAATAATGTTATCCTTCGCTAGCCGCACTCCAATCCCAGCCAACAAAGTAACCTGAAAACGGTAAGCCGGCCAATCTGGCAGCCACGATGAAGAATGAAGCCAGCTGACAGTATTAGGCTACGTTAGCTAGCTAGCAATTCGTCCACATTAGCAAGCAAGCTAACATTAGCCAACTTGAACTTTATGTTCGACTTGGTCTTGGCCGTTTGTAGACATTAATGGACTACATTTATAAGAGAACAGAATCTTAAATAAATTTTAAAATTATTTAAGAGTTTAACAGTCAAATATTTATTTATTAAGTGTGATTTGATCAAATTTAATTACCAACATGAGCAACAAGCCCGACTACAGTCATCCGATTTTGTTTAAAATATTCTTAAATCCTGCTTGGTGCATGGAAATACATGACATCAGAACAAAAGTCTTGTGAATTAAATTAACTTTTTTACGGAGGATTTAAAAAAATAGGTCGTCAGGGCCTTTAAAGAAGTGTGGTTGTTCCAAAATAAGAAGGACATCATCGTTGGAAGGTCAGGCAGAAAGGAGGATAGTAGAAACAGGAAATGACATCAAAACCTACTACAGGCTGTGGTGTACTTCCGCTTTGTGCTGGCTGTTGGATCTGATCAGGTGGGGCCAGTGGAAGAGGGAGAGAGAGCAACAGATGGCCAGGGGATTACTCCCTCAATCTCTAAGCGCTCTCTCTGCCTCTCTCCCCGATAATTCCACTACTCTGCTGCTCGCTACGCTCAACCACTTTGCCTGTAGTCCTGTCGTTTTTAGTCCTGCAGGGCCTCTGTTTCTCATTCTTTATTAAATCATTTTCTTGTGCCATCTCCTCGCCTACTCTCTCCTCTGCAGAGTCAAATAAGCAGACTCCAAGCAGAAAGTGTTGGTTCAGTTCTGATAACTAGTGATGTAGCTCATTGTAACTGTCCTTAATTTGCGGCTTGAACCCTCGCATGGCTGGAGTGTGCGTCGTGACCAAGAACTGCTACATCACCGTTTTCAATTGAGAAGAAAAACTAATTCGACCGTATGTCGAGAGAAGACTCCGCGTACAAAAGGCGCGATGATGCGTGAAACAAGCTCCAACATCCTGTGTGGACACTGTTCAGCTGGCAGTAAAAAAACAATGTAGGAAGCGTGGCATGGAGCCAATTTACTGGTGCCGAACAATTCTAACGTGTGTATGCTTGTATGTCCCACATCCTGACACTTTCCAGCACAGTCTGGTCACGTGGCACCTTCTCATATTCAGACGTGCAGATCATCGTCTGCTAGTTTCACTCCATCGAAGCACTGCATGATGGACAACAGAGGAAATATTGCCATTAACTCTGTCCACAACCGCTTCCCTCAAAGAGACCATGAGTCTCTTAAGACCAAGACCATTTTGTTACCTCAAAAACTCCCCTCCGATAGCTGCGTATGAGGTCTCACTGAGCCCGACTCCTCTTTCAAAACAAGAACAATCTGTTTGTAACCTAACCTGTCCCAATTACCACTCTCTGGTCTCACAAAATACCAGCTTTTCTGTCACAAAAGTGATCACGTGTCTGAAACAGCATCTGTACACCTCCGATACTGCGGCATCCTAGGGTCCAACCATGTGAGCCATGTGTCCACTCGGCCCTGCCCTGATCCACAGCAGGAGTCTCCCCCCACATGTCCACTTGTGAGGGCAACCACTTATCTGTTGTGTAAAGACATCGCCATGGAGATGAAGCATCTCCACTAGCAATAAATAAGCAAGACTGTCAAGCTGAGCTACCGGGGGGTTGAGTCACAACATCAGCTAATCACACTGCCCCTGCCACAGCAACCCTTCCTCTGATATCTATGGGCTGTGTAATTCCTACCAGCTTACATTCGACATAATCAATAAATGGACAGTGGGCGAGCGCTATAGTGAATGGCCCCATTTGATTACCAGAGCACGTTGGGCTGAACTTTCTAAAGTAAGTGGGACAAGACGGACTTGGCTCTCTGTGACCTTTTCCCTGCCAGGAGCCTTTCTCTTTCCCAGCTTGGTGT